GAGGCTGAGGGCAGGTGGGGCAAGGACAAAGTGTAGGTCAGTGCTGGCCAACTTGTTTCAGCCTGTTAGGGGAGCACCACTTAGATTTGAAAATCACTGGTTTAAAATAAAGACCCAAGCTCTTTCATACAAATGTTGTTTAAGTTTGAGGCAAAAAAAAAAGATTGATAATAGCTCAAAGAAAAAAAAAACAGAAATAATCACCAGATATTTTTTTCCAACTTTAGCCATTACTTTGAATAATGACTTTTCTTAAAAACAAAAATAAATATTTTTGGATTACTTTGATTTTGTTGCATTTAAGTGTATTGTTTAAAGAACTTATTTAAACAGTCATCTAACTAATGTTTTTTTTTTTTTTTTTCATAATGTAGATTTAGAAATTAAACCAGCGTTTTGTCTAAGCACATTTATTTAATCATGTTTGTAGACTCTTCAACTATCAACAATTGTTTTGTCATGGTTCTAAATACACCCAGAGTTGTGTCCCCTTACTGCCTTCCCTCATAAAGATATTTATATAGGTTTGTTGTGACCTTTGACACCACTTCCTAGAGTACAGGAAATGTTTTCCCCCCATATGTTTGTTGATAAAGTATAAATATAACGTATTTATATTTCAGCATTCTTAGTTCGACTCAAGTGAACTAGTTTGTGATCTGGAATTGTTTCCCTTTGTGCTGCTGTTTTCTTTATGTACATTAACACCTGAGCACAGCTGTTTCTAAGAACACAGCTGTTTTACGACTCACAGCTATAGGTGTGTTATGACATGGCTCATTCAGCCAATCAACTTACTAATCTACTAAGTAGCCTGAGTTACAGTAGTGAAATGGCTTATTCCAACCTTGTTAAAATGAAGTTTGTTGTTTTATTTTGTAGATAATCCAAATCTTTCATTGTGCGAGTCCAGAATTTAAACATTTTTTTTTGTACTGAGATGATACCTGATACTTTTGGCAGTGTTAAATCTTGTGATTTATTGGACATGTAAACTTTATTTATATTCATGGGAGGTGCCACGTGGATAAAGATGTTTCCTGAAGAGTTTACATTGCAGGCCCTTTAGTGTTTCTGTAGTGGGTACATATAAATAAAAACAAAATTCTAGATTCTTTCTAGAACTGGGACTGTAAGTAAAATGAAGAAGCAGTTTGTGTGTTGGCAGGTGCTTAGGACTCAATTTTTGTAATAAAATAATGCTATGTTCAAAGACCTGCCAATTTGTTTTCATTTTATAAATTTTGTTTGAATGTTTATACAATATCTCCAACAAATTTCTTGTTCTTTTAGGATCATGTGAATTTTATTTGTAATTTTTTTATCTTCTTTTTCTTAGCATATTTAATTAATTTTAAATGTGAAAATATGCCAACTCATGAAACCTGTCTGGGAACTCAGATTAATTTTATGAAACAGCAGAGGTATTATTTAAACTAAACTCGCATCGGAGCGTGTACAAAGTTTGAAAATATCTCAATGGTCATCCTAGGTTTGGACTCTTTCCACCACCATTCCCTGCAATCCTGTGTCTAAGAAGCTCTAAAGGAAAATCCAAAACGCATATAACAAACAAATAAACAAAGCTTGTAAAGATCAAGTCAATGAACTATAATATTTAGTCCTGAATGTCTGTTAGCTAGTAATTTTCTGAATGTTTGTTAGTAGTAATTACAGTTAAATCCTTTAAACATAAAAACACTTCATTGCTAAAAATAAACCCAGAAAAACTCAAGTGAACAAAAAAACTATAATCTTAAACACATCCTTTTTGTTACACAAGATTTTATTTTGTCTTGTTTTGTTTTTATGAGCTCATTTTATCCCAGCTGATTGAAAATTGATATTCAAGTCTGAATTTCAAATAGGTCTTTACAGAATTATTTTTCCCCCCACTAAACTCAAAGTTGGCAATTTATCTGGCCTTTTCTGTTAGTGATTATATTAAACCTAGAACTTTGATGTAGCTGTTTCCTCTTTGACTGTAAATACAACTTCTTATTACTTAAAGGCTAAAATTTGTCTTAAGCGCAATTGTTGAACTTATAAATTCCATTGCTGATGTTTGTTTGTTTTTATAACAGACTCATTTGATATGTAAGGTCATAGTGCATGCTTGAAATGTTGTCGATTTGTACAATTTAATGCCAAGCACCCATGTGATTGTTGTTGGGTCTTCATGGCTATGTACAGAGAGGCACATTAATGTTACTCTGTAATGTCCACTGTGACAATGTGATGTCCAGCTTGTCTTAAAGGACAAAGTTTCTTTGAAAAAGAATATGATTTTATATGTACTACTACTGCAATGCTATAGTTACATTTTTTTAATCTGATTTTGTTTTGTCTGGCTTTGTTTTAATATCTTTATAATGTAATATTTATAATGTACTTGTAGTTCAATTGTTTCTTGTATTTATATTCTTGCAAATTAATTTTTGTTTTCTGAATTACTTGTGAACTTGTTGACTTCTGCAGATGAATACATTATGGACGAATATGGTGGTACACTTCTTTCATGTTGTAGAAACATAGTGGTCATTGCTATGCATACTGTCACCTGACTATCCACTATCTAATGGCTTGTAGCTCTGTCTTGAACATAGAGAGATAGGTCATAGATTTTTTTTTTTGTATTTATTTTGTGCCATTATGTAATGTCAATGAATTTTTTAAGCTTTTTTTTTCCACTTGTGTTTCAAACAAAATAACATGAAAATCTACAAGGTTTTTTGTTATTTTTTTATATGCAACTGTCACTATCAGTATTTGTTATGTTTGCTGTTGACTGAATGATAGTTATTGAGAATTGACTTCAGCAAATAAGACTGCTCAATAAGCCTACATGTTTCTGACACATGAAAAAAAAAATGTACAATCAAAATATTTCTCCACAGATTATACACTAAGATTGGGAATGAATTTTCACAAAGTTTATCTGAAAGAAAACCTTTCTTTTTAAACCTGTTTTTGTATTGCACAACTTTTCAGCTATATAGCATGCTTAATGCGCTATTATTCAATCTCTTTTGTCAACATGTAGGGGCAGGGGGGGTTCATGGGAGGTTTTTGTTCTACCTTTAGTCATAAATCAGTTTCAGAAAAAATTAGAACTCAATCCTCCCCCCCTCAATAAGGAGGCTAGCATTTTTTCCTTTCTTCCATACATCCCACTATTGACTTTTTATACATTTAAATGGAAAGTCAATTTCTTCAGATTTCTGTGAGGTGTTAAGTTTATTTTCAAATGACAGACATACTGCTGTCTAGAAGAAACCTAATGGACACAAATATGAACAGAAACAGAAATAAAAATTTTGTACTGTTAAACTGCTTAAAGTTGTAGGAGTTCAAACTTATTCAAAGTACATTACGAGCCACTTAATAATTAAAATGTAAATGATTGTCTTTCCCCCTCTCAAAAAAGGACCCCTTTTCAGGCCTTATTATGTAAAGGTCTCTTATTTTTATGGACAATGGTTAACAAGAGTGCCATGGAAAGAGAGAATGTGCAATACTGAGATCCTGTGCTGGCTTGGACACGTTTGACCGATGGAGGACTATCGCATGCCAAAAATCATTATTTAACCACTACTCTCATCTCAGCATCTGGCTAAAAAAAAAGGAAAAAAAAAGGTCCCTCCCCCCCAACACACACTTCTATTACTTGGATTTTAAAAAAAATGGGACCTAAAAGCAGTGAACATTGATACTGACCACTGGGAAGACATAGCCCTTGACCGCACTAGGCAGAGAGAGGTGGTGACCAAGAAAGCTATGGAAAGTAAAAAAAACTTGAGCCGCAGCTCTAATAGAAAAGCGTGCCATACAAAACTGGCTGGCTCCTCTACCACCAAAGTGAAAGCCACTTTAACCTGCAATATATGTGGACGGGAGTTTCTCTCCAAAATAGGGCTCCACAATCACATGAAAAAGTGTTTGAGATGAACCATGGTCATTCTACAACTGAAGGAAGCCAGCACAATGACAATTGCCTTTACTTTCCCCAACAAATTTCAGGTACCCATTAGAGTTGGGTGGACTCATTGGCGTCCTAAAAACGCTGAGATTGAAAATCCCAGCCTTCAATGAGATTAGAACCAGTGACCTCTTGGTTCAGAAGCTTTGCTACTTAGCTACCATGCTCCATTTTTAAAATGAAGTCATGTTTGAATTCTGCCCCAGAAATGGCATTTATGGTGTGCATCAGTGCACTATTCAACACAGAACATGGACAGACTGATTAGATAGGAAGCTGGGTCCCATCAAAATCAACAATAATTAATTATAGATTCTGGCATTCTAAAATAGAAGGAAAGAGATGTCCTTTGTACTTAAAAAACTAGACTGTGTGTGCAACATAATGGTAAAACTAGACATAATTCCCATTGGGGTGCCTAAGGATCATTGCGCTGGCGGGGATGGAAGAAAGCCACAACAATCATCTCACTGTCCACACACCATTCCTCAAAGGACCGTTTTTATGGCGGATACGTGCACAGCTGATGTGGTTACATAGAAGGAATTTGGGGGGGAGGGGGGGCATCCTTGGTGTGCTTAGCCTATGTCCTCACTTCTTATCCAAACATCCTGGGATAGAGTCATCAGTAATAGGAATGTAATAATTTACATCTGCTAGGAGCTTTCCCAGACAGAAGTTTGTTCAGACTGTCAGTTGGAGGCAAGCTTCCATATGCCTGGAGTTCCAAAAGTCTTACAAAGTTTCAATTCAATACAATTAAATATAGAACCATGACAAAATGAAAACAGAATTTATTTTAACCAACACAATGAAGTCTTTCTTTCTATTGAACTTAAAACATTTTTATTTCATTATTTATAATCATGAACATACAGTTTCAATGTACATACAACTCAACGTTTGGCTTCGTAACATAGCAGATCAAACATTGTTCTGACAAACAGAAAAGAAAAATACTTTCATCTATTTAAATAACATTAAATTTAATAAACATTTCAAATAATCTCTTTATAATAAGAAGAAAAATAATATGGTACAATTTTAATAATCTCTTTATAATAAGAAAAATAATATGGTACAATTTTAATAATCTCTTTATAATAAGAAAAATAATATGGTACAATCTTAAAACAATATTCAACCAACAATAGTTTTGGCTCTGTCACACCTACTGGTCTGCAAGCAGATTGGCGAGATTATGTCCTCTGGCCTAACTTACATAATGCTGCGATATTGAGACTGAATATAAATATATTAGTATAGGTAATAATTATTTCACATAACTTCAAATATGGCAAAGCTACAATCTGGATTAGCACCTTATTTTTTTGGTTCTACCAAATAGACTTTTTGTTTTTTTTATTGCCTTTTGAAACTACTGCCCCAGCATCTCACAATTTCCAAGTAAACTGAATTCAAATGCACAACCTGGAGTATAAACCAAAAGTAAATATTTGTCAACAGGACACAAGCAAGTGAGGATATTGAGAATCAAAAGTATGGGAACCACTACACTGAATCTAAAAACAAGTGAGGATATTGAGAATCAAGCTATGGGAACCACTATACTGAATCTAAAAACAAGTGACCTTTGAGAATCAAGTTATGGGAACCTCTATGGGAACTGAATCTATTGAAGTGACCTATGAGAATCAAACTATTGGAGCCACTGTGTCTTGCCTCCTTCAATCATATGGTTAATCTTGTAGAAACCATATGAAAGCCTGATCATTATTTATGGAACCACTAAACAAGTGGCCCTTGAGAATCAAACTTTGAGAACCACTACACTAAGTATAAAAGTCCTGGATACAAAGGGGAAATGGTTCAAGCCCTGAAATACTGACTGTGTTACTTCCTAAATAAAAATCCATATGTCCGTGCCCTAAGCGAAAGTGTTCACAAACACACTACTAAAAATCTATTCATGATAAAATAACTCCTACAAATTCTCTTTAAAAGTAATTCCACATAGTTTTAAAAACTACAACAGCATATTTTTGTCAATATTCACTATAAACAATGTCACATATGTATTAAATAAATATATTCCAAAACACATGAATAGTTTAATTTCAAAGCACTACATATTCACCAAGGGATGTAATTCATTCATGACATGTACACTTGCAGACACAGACATCAAGATCCTGTACAAGTTCCATGACACTTTTATCAATATGTACAAAGTTTCTGAAGAGCCACAAATGAAAGTAGCGAGCAGAGAGAATCTAGAGAGAAATGTTTGGTACATCCGGAGTTTTTCTTCTTTTAGTTATGAGCATTTCGAAGTCTGATTTTCGAAATAATGTTTACAGACAATATGACCTTGACCAAGTGGTAAGAACTATTTAATAACCCAGATGTACCTGCAGGGGCGTAGCTAGGAATTTTCCATCAGCTGGGGGCACGCGGGGGTTGAACTCTTTGGGGGCCCCTGCGTTTTGCGTAATATTTAAACTTTAATGTAAAAAATACTCAATTGGGGCCCCCTCAAGTGGAAGCCTGGGGGGGGGGGGGGGGGGGGGTTCAAATTCTCCCCCCTCCTCCACCCACCCTAGCTACGCCACTGTGTACCTGTACTAAAAGCACAGCCATAATACAAGACATTTTAAAATCTACTATATGAAGGAAATCGAAGACCCATATATTGTTTGATGGATCTTCTAATACCAATACAAGCAATTAAAAGTGCTCTATGTTTACAAAGCAATATAATTTATCATTAAAATATGTAATACCGATATCTAAAGCAGAACTATGAAACATGAAAGAAACAATATTAATGTGTTTATATACATTGTTTCTTTTCTTTTTTTTTTATTTCCTTGTGCAATAAGTGAAATTTTTTGAGTGTGTGTGCATGCAAGTTGATGGAGGCGCTGTGGGTAAGTGGTCAAGTGCTTGTTTCTGAATCAGAGGTTCCCGGGTTCAAATCTTGGTGAAGACCAGGATTTTTACTTTCAGGATCTTAAGGGCGCCTCCGAGTCCACCCAGCTCTAATGGGTACCTGACATAAGTTGGGGAAAGTATAGACGGTTGGTCGTTGTGCTGGCCACATGACAGCCTCATTAACCATCGGCCACGCAAAGAGAAGATCTTTACATAATCTGTCATATAGATCACAAGGTCTGAAATGGGCACTTCTTTTTCTTTTTTTATGCCAGTTGATAGTTTAGCTTAAGAATTACAGACTTAAGTTCAAAAGATAGCTTTGGTTCCATTGAGCTTGACGTATTTTTTCATTTTGCTATTATGCGGCCTGTGAATGAGAGACATAGTAAATTCTTTTTTTGGGGGGGGGGCTTTCTGTAAAGAATTAAAATCAACTGCCATAGCTTACTGTAATATACAATCAGACCTACACTATGGAAAGTTAATAATACAAAGCTGGTTGCTCTATCGCTTGCATGAGATATCAACTAGTCACTCTGAGCAAAAATTTCATGTGTGTGTGTATGTGCCAGTGTGAGTATGATGAGCTTAACCAACAAATATAGTCCCCCCCCGCCCGTTTCTATGACAATGAACAACTGCTAAGTAAAAAAATAAAAAATAAACGAAACAATTGATTCACTCATTCACTCAGCTTGCGTCAGTTACAGTCCAACAACAAAAATTTGTTTAAAAATCTTCACTTCCAGAGAAAATTCACAAAAACCCCCCCCCAAAAAACCAGAAATATTTTAGGATAAAAAAAAAATTAAATAAAAACCCAGAAGGATAAGATAAAATTATATCAAGACACCTTGAAGAGAAAAAAAAAATAATTTTAACATATTATCAAAAAGGAAATGACATAATGCTGAGGCTGAATAAAAACATTATTTTAGATTCCTGTAATAAGAATACTGGATACTGGTTGAACTAACAAGATGTGTACTAGAAGGTATGATGCATGGTCGAGAGGCAAAGTACGCTTGACATTGGCTTGGCTCGAGGTTTAATGAGCGCCCAAAGGCAGCACAGACAAAACCTTCTCCTAGATACCGCCCCCACACTGGTCCACAAACAAGACCATATTGCTCTGAGCATGGTATAAGCATGAAAGTAGCGTTATAAAAGCTATAATTTAAGAGAATGAAGGTCATATTTCTAGTCAGTGAAACATTCCCCATGTTGATTTGTTTTGTTTTACATGTTTTGGATGTTCCTTTAGAGTTGAAGATAGTTTACTTCCTAGTCCAAACCTCCCGCAGGACGATGGGGGGGGATGGGAGCGGGCAGGGTTTGAACCCGGGACTATCGATAAATCCAAACGACAGACCAGCGTGCAAACGGCACGCCCAGCAACCATGACTTCTGGTCAGTACTGCTGTAGGAAACAAAACTGTACAGGGGCCACCTCACACAATATTCTTTTTTACACTTGCTATAGGGACATGGAGAAAGCATAAAAAATAGGCTGCCCCTATCTGACACCAGTTTGGGAACCACTTAGCATACAATGGGGAGACAACTCGGAGTAAATCAGCTTTTATTTGTCTCCCTGGGGTACATTTTGTCCATGGCATTTTTATTTTGAGAGCAGCAGAACTACTTACATTCATGCTGCACATGCTCCCAGTGTGTACACTTCCTGCACTTTTCCATTTCATTTTCTCCTCTAAACAACAAGGCTCAATTGAATCTTAAGTCCACAAGCATATGAGTTTACTTTTTTTTTTTTTAAAGCATGAAAGTAGGTAAGGGCTTAGTGTCATTTTTAAGCATGCTAACAGTTTTGGAGACTTGTATAGAAGTCTTTTAAAAACACTTTGAATATAGCTGTTTCACAAAAGAAACTAATGGAGAATTTTTTTACCTATATTTCAGAAGTAATTTGGAAATATTTGTAAAATATTACTATTAGCTTAGTGCACAAACATAGATTTCTTTATTAATTTGAATATTCATTACTCTTTGTCTTATGTATCACTGCTTTAGACATAAATCTAGAAGCACATTTAAAGTAAAAATAGCATTAAAATCTGGATGTGAACATCTTTACCAAAAATTTTTTTTCTAGCCAAGATTTACCTATTGATTACCTAGATTTACCTATGGATCACCTAGATCTACCTATGAATCACCTAGGTCTACCTATGGATCAACTAGATCTACCTATGAATCACCCAGATCTAGAATGTCTTCAATGACTAAGAATAAGAAAGTTTATATTCAGCATGATCCTGACCTTCTTCAGAAAGCCCAGAAAAGCGCTGTTATTTCTTCTAGGGAAGAAGATATGTGGTTTCAAGTTTCATTAAATGTAAGAACCAAATTGATCCTACCTTTTTAGAAAGCTCTAACAATATTTCAATGCTCACAGAAAAGTTTTTCTTTTGACCCCAAAAGCCGAAAAGTTGCAGCATTCTAAGGCAGCAAACAATGTGACATTAACTACCAAGTCACAAGTAATGGTACTAGCTTGCTGATTCACAGGGTCTTAAAAGTTCAGAGGATAGGTCAACAAGAGTATTTGGGTAGTAAGACTGTTCAAATAAATCTAAAAATAACTATCATCTCTACTAAAGTCTTCTAAAAAATTACCTAATTTTTATGTTTTCTCACGTTTTCAATTTTTCAATATTGATCTGTTGTTCTGGATCTTAACTTCATGCATGCCCTACGCTAAGACATTCAATAAATAGGTTTCCCCTCCCCTTCTACATAAACAGAATATAAGAGAATGTTAATATGTTAATGGAACACAATAATTCTGAAGTTTTGACACCAAATGTAGGAATGTGAACTTTACATTGAGGTATTACATAGGTATTACATAGGTCAGAGGATCAAATCAATCTTTTAAAAGCAATAAGTAGTTGTGATACACAGATGAGTGACATCAGTATCTGAACATTTGGGAAAGTCTGTCACTAGAAACAGTTGGTAGATTTCTGGAAGTATAGTCAAGTGATTTAGTTTCTACCTAATTTAGTTGTTGCACCAAAATTGAAAAACTTCTTATCTTATAGATTATAGACACTACTTCAGTAGAGAAGATAATTACATCCTACGCATTTGGTGTGTCAATCTAGTCATGCATGTTAATCAATGACTTAAACTCTGCTAATTTGTTGGTTTTCCTGGCTGATTTAGACAACCCATTCCATGCTTTGATAGCACTATGGATGAAGAAGCATTTGTATGAAATTGCTCTAAAATATGGAACACAAAATGACTCAAGCAGATTTGTTTACTGAGCGCCAAAAGGCAGCACGGAAAACCTTCTTCCAGATACCCTATCCCAACTGGTCCACAAAAGAGATTGGACCACAGCGCTCTGAGCTATAAGCATGAAAGTTGAGCTATGTAAAAGCTATTAAACAAAAATGATGGTTCAGTGTTGTATGTAGTATTGCTACTTGACTATTTAGTCTTATGTCTTGAAGAGTGAAGGTGAATGTACTAATAGAACATTGCAGTCACAGATAGAATAATATTAATACAAATGAATATAACTGGATTAAAACCTCATATCATCAGTTGTTAATAAGACAACCAATGACAAGCTATTTATTACAGTACATGGGAAATGGATAAATATTTTTAAAGTTGGCAACACTATACATAACCAAGTGACTGCTGCCAAAATAGTTGTTTCCTACTTTTACACAATTATTTTTTTATTTTTAAAATTAATTTTTTTTATATTTATGGTACAATAATTTATAAATTGTAAGCAAAGAAACATTACTATTAATTCCTGCTATGTAAAACGATTTAACTTCCTGTTCTGTTACGCAACAAAACTAATGTCAAATTTCAGATCATTGAAAATAAATTTGTGTTGATAAGTACATGACTAGCATAAACATGATTCAGTGAGAGTCTAGAAAAAAACTCTTCATAAATAAAAATCTATCTCTTTTTTTTTTTTCAATCAGGCTAGTGTCTTTGGTTTGAAATATAAACAATAGTTTCAATTTTAAAGATGCAGTCGCACGGTTAACACGCACCCTTAAGACATTCATAGCACAATTGCACCTCATTTACAGAGTTACGCCTCAGAGACTCTGATAAAACCGATCTCCTTGCAGGCAGTCATTTCCATCATGGTAAACTTTGATAGGTATCTGCAAGCCTTGTTGTCATGGTGACGGAAGATACGGAAGTTCTGCTCATAGAGCTGGCGTAGAAGTTGCAGCATGTGTATGTAGCGCTCCTTTGATGGCTCTTTGTCAGGCTGTAACAGCAAAAAAAAAGAAACGTCATTTTCATAACTGCTTGAAGCATAGTTAAGAAAATCTTACTGTATTCCAATAGAAACATCGATTTAAAACCAGTGAAGTAGCAACCCAAGAAAGACATGGCTCACAAAGTCCAGGCTTATGGCCAAAAATGGCCCATTAAAAAAAGACCTACATATAAACACTAAATTTTGTTACTGTTACTTCGAACCTATAAAAATATTTAATTTTTGAACCTAGGCTCATGTCACTCTTTTAAACCTTTTCTTAATTAAGTTTATTCATTATTGTAGGCAGTAAGTTGTGTGAAAAAGATCAAACAGAAACCATGACTGACTCAGGGGCTGACTTCA